CAGAACAATAAGATCATTTTCTTTTCAAAGTACCTCACATGTCTGGGCACAGACTACATCACACCCAAAAAATGTTAGTCTCTCCTCCATTCATTTCTCTATACAAGTGAAAACAAACAGATCAAACTTTGACAAATCAAAACTATACATAATAAATTTAAAAAAAATCAAAACTGGCTTCAGACTATTGAAAGAAAAGAGGTACAAGCTGGAAAGGGAAGGGAGGGCTGTCAGAACAAAATACTACCGAGAGTCTGAGCAGCTTAAAGTCAGAGTCATAGAACAGAAGTGGTTTATCTGGTAGAAGAAAGGAAATGTGATTAAGGAAAGAGGATTCTGAGTTTCTGAATGATGCTACTGAGCATCAGTACTGAAGTATAGATGTGCTTGTGGGCAGCTGAAGCAGAGCAGGGTGGTAGTGATTGCTAAGGAAAAACTCAGGCTACTGAAAGTTTCCTATTGAAAAAGAGACTGAAATCCCCAAGAATGACAATAAGGCATGGGCTGGAGTGACCACCTGCAGCAGCTAAGGGAAAAATAACTGGATACACTCTAACTCATCAGCATCTTATAGGTCCCCTTCTTTTAGCATGAGAACTGCACACACATACAGAGGCATATGTGTCTATGTGTAAATATATAGATACACATATATACATGCTGGTATATATCCATGAAATATATATTAATATAGCTAATACAACATTATAAATATTATTACATATAATAATATGATAAATCAATATATAGTCATCCAACATAAACTACATACGTGAATAAATGCATTAAGAGCTTGGTCAAGCAATGCTAAGATCCAAAATGCATTTCTTGAGAGTTGGTATCCCTAAATTTTATAAAAAGATGAGATGAAAAACAATTAAGAAAGATCAGAAACTTTCACGTGTTGGTGAACCAAGGAAGACTGATTTCAAATGAAACATTAAATAAAAATCTGTCATCTAAATAGTATTTTATTGTCCATTAAATTCTTTCCATTTTCTCCATTATAAGGGGAAAGCAACAAAATAAATGGCTCCCGGGAATCTCACTCAAGTGACAGAATTCATACTAATGGGAGTCTCAGATCGTCCGGAGCTCCAGATCCCACTTTTCTGCGTGTTCCTGGTCATCTACGGGCTGATCGTGGCAGGAAACGTGGGCATCATCACTCTTACTAGTGTTGACGCCCAGCTTCAAACCCCCATGTACTTCTTCCTCCGGCACTTGGCCATCATCAATCTTGGCAATTCTACAGTCATTGCCCCTAAAATGCTGGTGAACTTCTTGGCTACAAAGAAAACCATATCTTATTATGGATGTGCAGCTCAACTGGGTGGGTTCTTAGTTTTTATCGTGGCTGAGATTTTCATGCTGGCTGCCATGGCTTACGACCGCTACGTGGCGATTTGCAACCCCCTGCTCTACATGATGGTGGTCTCCCCACAGACCTGCCTCCTGCTGGCATCCCTCACGTACCTCTACAGCCTGACCACCGCGCTGACTGTCTCCTCCTGTGTGTTCTCTGTGTCCTACTGCTCCTCCAATGTGATCAATCATTTTTACTGTGATAACGTCCCCTTGTTAGCGTTGTCCTGCTCTGAGACCTACATTCCAGAAACAGCAGTGTTTACCTTTTCGGGGACCAACTTGTTTTTCTCTATAATTATTGTTCTCACATCATACTTCAACATTGCCCTGGCCATTTTGAGGATGCGTTCGTCTGAGGGGCGACGGAAAGCCTTTTCCACCTGTGCTTCCCACATGATGGCTGTCACTGTGTTTTATGGGACTCTCCTCTTCATGTATCTGCAACCAAGGACCAACCACTCATTGGATACCGATAAAATGGCCTCGGTCTTCTACACGCTAGTGATTCCAATGCTGAACCCCCTCATTTACAGCCTAAGGAACAAGGATGTGAAGGATGCATTGAAGAGATTCCTGGATAACCCATGTCATTCACTCAAAATAGTATAAATTTAAAACTACAGCTATCTTCATTTAAGGGTTTTATTTAGTCCTAAAAAATGCTGCAAAGTGATGAAGCAGTCAACGGTTTAAAATTCCATTAAATTTAAAGGAAAAAAACCTTAATCCTTTTTATCCCAATTTTAAATATCAAATTTTCCCTTTAGAAAAATGCATTAAATGACCAAAGAACGTACAGTACTATGAGTACTAAATTTCAATTATTTGAAAATAAACACATTAATGAAAAATGTAAGATAAAAATATAAGTTTTTGAAGGGTTTTAAGAGTTTTTAAACATGGAAGAGAAAGTCTTATAACCTATAGTGAAGATATACCTGCAGGAACTATTTTTTAGATGGTTGTCGAGAGTCGATAGGTCATCTTCCTTGTCATAGATATATTTTCTTCAACTACTAAGTTTTACAATATTTTGCAGCATTTTACCCATCAGTTTATCAGCTTTTTTGGACCAATTGTTATCTTGCACTTAAAATAAATTTATACCAAAGGGGAAAAAACCTTTGGGGAAAAATAAAAGCTAAACATGAAATGCTTAGATATACATTAAAATGGAACATGTGGCAAAATAGACAGAAAAAAAAACATATAAAATGGAATTCTACTCTTTCATCCCCACACTTAGTCCACATACACAAAGCAAAATGTTGATATTTATCCAAATATGACACATAATTATTTTTCCTATCATTTTCTCATATTAAAAATTGTGTAGAGGTAATTACCTTTGTTGTGATATCATGCCAATGAACACTTCTTTTAGCATTTTTATTCAGTGCACTTCGGAATGAAATAATCTAACCAACACACAAAAAAGTCATTGTTCTCAACATGACACCAATTCTCAAAAGTACTCATTTCAAAAAATAAAATAAAATAAACAACAGTCGTTATGTGCCAAAGCTCTGTTTATACAGACAAAACACTACTAACATACAATGGAGTGAGGGGGAGTGAGCATGTCATGGAAGGTAAAGGCAGCGTCCAAGAATTAACTACATTAATCAAGTTTTCAAAGAAGTCAGAAATAAGCCAAATACAGGACCCCTGAGACTCAAGTTCATGACTTAATTGCTAACACCGTTCATAAGTGAGCAGAATAGCTGAAAACAGAAAAGTCTCACTATGTGATGCATATTTCTTGTCTCTGAGGACAAAATTAGCAATAGCTTGATAGCATTAGTCTTCAGGATTTTTATGTTTTGTAATTTATAAATACGTGATAGTATATAAAGCATGTAATTTATTTTATGGGTCTATTTGCTTTTGCTTTATTCTGATTGTATTTGGCTTTACCAGCCTAGGCACTTGCAACTGGAATATATTTCTCAGCAGAAAACAATTCTTTCTTTGTCTGGTTAGGTGAACAGAATTGGAGTGAGAGGATTAATCTCACTCTTGGAACCTCTATTTCATTGGGTGAATTAAAGTCAAGAATAAAAACTGTAGTGATTTTGCATTTTAATTTGGGTTACATATATGCATTTTCTATAAATAATTCTGTTGTCACTTGTATCAGGTTCCTAACACTACTATAACAAGTCACCACCAATTCAGTTGCTTGACACAACATGAACTTCTTATCCTGAAGTTCTGGAGGTCAAACATCCAAAATGAGTTTCACTGGGCTAAAATCAGGGTATCAGGAGGTTGTGTTCCATTCAGGACGTGTAGGAGGCAGTCCATTTCCTTGCCTCTCCAGTTCTAGAGGCTGCCCACATCCCTTGCCTGGAGTTCCCCTTCCATTCAGCAATTCCATCATTCTGACTTCTGTTTCCCTTCCCACACCTCCTTCTCTGATTCCAACTTTCTTCCATCCCTTTCTCCCTCTTGATTACATGGGATCCACCCAAATAATCCAAGATAGCCTCCCCATCTGTAGGTCCTTAACTTATCACATCAGGAAATCTCTTTATTTCATGTTCCATGGCAACATATTCACAGGTCCTGGGGTTCAGGCATAGGCATCTTTGGCAGGGTGGACAGAGTGCATCATTCTGTCTAAAACATCTACATCTATATTGGCATATTTTGTGAAAAAGGACAATCTAAAATCTTGTACCTGTCTCATTCACTAGCCCTCAATAATGGTTTCACAAAGGCATACACTATATACTCTTTCTACATTCCTTAGCTACAAAATCTGTTCTAAACAAACTGTACACAAAGCACTCTTTAAAGGAAGGATAAAGAAAAATGTTTGGTTCAAAGTATTTGGTTACACACATATACATGCACTCACATATCATTTGTTACCCATTTATCAGAAATGATGAAACAACTCAGCCTGTCATCGGTGACCATATGGTATTTGTAAGTGCTAGTTGTATAACAGTTTGGATGGCTTTTCTCATGCTATCGCCAACCAGGGCTGGGCTGTAGTGGGGCTTGGGTGGTCTGCCCAGCCCCCTGGTGGTGCTGCATGTGTGGATCATGTGCAGCGCCCTGCTTCTGCTCTTGACACCTCAGAAATGGCAGTTGGGTTTATGCTTTTTATATCTTTTTGTTCATAACTCACCTCAACTGTGCATGCATGCAGTTACTTTTGGTCCCTTGTGGTTTCTTTGTATTTTGTTACTCGAGGTGCAGGTCCCAGCCTGTACAAGGGCTGCGATAACAGGCCCCAGGTCTCAGCCTGCCTCAATACTAGACATATACACCTACCTGACTTTAAACTGCACAAGTTTTTATTTGGAGCACTTTTCCATAGGCCTCCTTCCTAAACACTCTCTGTTCTAGGCACAGGAATATTAGGAGACATGGGTCATTGATTCCTAAGACCAGAGATAGCATGCCTAGCCAAAGGAAGAGGACTGCTGCATCTACAAAAACAAGAACAACATTGAAAAAATGTGTTACCCTGTATGTGATCTCTATGGAAACCAGCACTGCCCTGTGGACTTTTTTTAAAACCCCCTAAATTCTCTCCCCAGGGGGCTCACAGTTTGGAGGCATTAGCCCATTATGATCTCTTTCACCTGGCAAAGAAATAAAGCTGTCTTTTCTGCTTCCTCCAACACTCTGTTCTCGAGTCTCAATTTGGTAATCGGGGTATGGAGGCTGAGTTTCTGCAACAAACCAACCACACAGGCCCATCATCCAAGCACCAGCTTTCAATGAAGTAAGATGGGAAAAAGGATTTATCTGCCAGCTCTCATCTCCTGTTGTTCACAGCCTGTGCTCTGGGACATTAAGTCACCCATACTTTCAGGTTATGTCTACCTGAGTGCTCAAGCAATTCCATGGCCTTTGTGTCCAAACAGTGACAGCAAAACCTTGGTGGTGGTTAGGGGATATAGGAGACCGGAGGCGCAGTCATGAAGCGAGGTCTGAGAGCACCTGTGAATGGTATGAAAGAACTGGAACAGCAACCACAGGGGCCTCTCTCTCCGTAGCTGCAGCACAGGCAGCAAATAGCTTGGGCCCAACTCTGAAATGTAGGGATACCCCAGGGAGAAGGCACTATAAATGTGCTCATCCTGGGTAGCACACAATGAATCCTTTCAAGGTCATGAAAATAAGAAAATCCATTCAGCTTCCCAAATTCAGACTAATCACTGCCATTTTACAACTTTAAATCCAAAACCTTACTGAAAAAGACCCTGCTATTTTCACAGCAAGTCTTTTTGTTTTGAAGAGATGTGAGCACATATCTCCATTTTTATGTACATCTTAAAACATGCTGGTTTAAGAAAAAAAAAATTTCGACTACATCAATTACCAAAAAGATAATAGAAATTGGCACAATTCAGAATTTTTTAAATTCAAATGCAAAATAGTGAAATTTTAAGGCATCCATCCGAAGGAGATTTTCTTATTTCGTGGTCAGAAGAGGTTACTAATGATTTTTTAAAAATCACTTTGTAAACTGTCTATTTCCAGATGGTCTGTTTCAAATGTCCTTCCCCTAAGTCCACAAGAATTACTTTCATTTGTCTTCATTGTCATAGGTCACACTTGCCATCCTTGCTTTCCAAAGGGATATTTTACAAGGCAACTCTATGGAAATGAAAAAGTCCATTCAAAGAAATTGTTCAAAAAAGAAGTAGACTGAATTGAAAACTGGCGATATAGGTGGAAGGAGTCAAAAGAAAAACAAAAAGATTTCATAATTATCCAGCCCACCTCTGCTACAGGGTATGTGTGTCAGTTTCTGGGGTCACTTCAATCACTATTCCATCAGTATTATCCAAAATTGTAAATCTTATCACTTTTATAGACATTTGAATATTAAAACTATAATAAAATTATATGCTTATCTGTCTCTGTTATCTCTAAACTTTCTCATTGACATGGATTGCACTGTAGTACATCATTCCATTTCAAGTTCAGAAAAATATTTGGATTATTTTTAAGAAATATTGTACTAAGATGAGTAAAACAATTTTAGCTCTATAAAGTTAAGTCTGATTTAATTATTTATTGCAATCCCTTGTCATATGTAAAAATAGTACATATTCATAAGTTGGATGTCCAGAATATGAACATCCTGGGGCTAGATGATAGAATTTATATATTGATAAAAGAAATATTAAAATATATCCATATTTACTTAAATAAATTAATGTCACTTATTTTTTCTCATATCAGGGACCCACTCAAGGAGATAGATCACACAAATGTTAACTCATGAATCAGTGGGGACCACACACACAAACTTGTTAATTATGGTGATACATGTAGAAGTCAAGAGTTAGTAACTAACTGAATGCCTATTACTATGGGAACAAACATATATTGAATGGGGGGCGATCCAGATGATAGTCCAGATTATAGTAATTTTATGAAAAAGAAGACAACAAAGTACTGGTGTGTACATAGTAAAAATAATGTGTTTCAAAAACAGAGTTGAGTGGGAAACTTCAGCTATCAAAGTGAGTTATAAAACATCATGAGTGTACATGAAAATATACATTATATTTACTTTATAAGTCTGTATTCTTTTTTAAGGACATACATCAACCTTTGTAGAGGAGGTAGCTGTGTGG